ATAAACTGCCAATGAAAAATTCTTCTGAACATTCATTAATCTTAGGTATTCCAATATTTAATAACACGTTGTTAAAATCGAAAGTTGCAACTGTGTTATTTAATGAGCTAACATGAACTAAGACTTAAAGACTAAGACTTCTTTTTTAAACAAAGATTAATAACTTCTGCAGCAAATGTAGCTATTGCTCATTGTGAATGTTAATGCATTAACTAAGGTTAACTAATGAGGTCTTATTGTAAAGTGATACCTATTGGTCTTTATAGTTCTTTTGCACTTTAATCTGTGTAAAACTTTTAACTTTATACATTTTTCTGTATTGCTTTATTGCATTTAAATGTTCAGTTATTTTTGTTATAAGAAAAAAGTTATTAAACCTGTTATACTGTATTATGACAGCACTTTTTTTTTTAAAACTAAATTTCAATACCGTGATAATACCGTATACCGTGAAAAAAGCATTAGCAATTAATCGCAACATGAATCGCAAATTTGATACCGGCATATCCCTAGTAGCAAGAATATGACGTGACAAAACGTTTTATATGTATTCTATTAATCAACGTTAATAATCACTTATAATATCAAGAGCAAAAATCGACAATAATGATTTTTGTCATAACATTGCAGCCCTACCCTGTACTGAGTCCCTGTTTTTTAAATGTAGGCAATCATTTATGTACAATTTTAACAGTTATTGGTGATTTAAGTCATTGGTTAAATGTAAGTATTTGACATTAAAGACAACACAGATACAATTAATAAGGTCATTATAAAAACTGTCCTTATGAATGTAAAAAATGTCCAGGAAATCAATACCAGAGGGCAAATATTGCACCTTAATGCAAAATTAATTTCTGACCCTGCTATCCACGTTACTGTATGTGTGTGTCGTGTTGACGTGCGGACAGGAAGTAGTACTCACTCTGTTCCTGTGGCAGGTGTGTGACACACTGACTGGCCTGTCTGGAGTTCACAGATGCATTTCCACTGAAGACACACACGTACAAAGCAGATCATAGACTGTTAACATTTGCAAGCCTTCTTTTTTTTTTCAGCATTCATTCTGATTTGAAAGCAAAAGGTCTTTTGTTTCTGGACCATGAGTGAGTGTCAGTGTTGTAGTATGACGTTACAGGACTCACTTTTCAGAGAAGCGTGTGTCCATATGTCTGTACTGCATCAGGCCTGTGAAATTAAACAAAAATGCAGATTCAGAATATAAAATAAGCATATATAGGCTGGCAGTGATTCTGAATCGTGTAGATTCTCTCTCACCTGCAGGGTTTTCTGACTCTTCTGTGAATCAACATGAGATCCAGGATGTTTTTGTACATTAATGCTTGTGTTGAATTCAGAATTACTGTGTTTAGATGCCTTGCATCAGATTTGGTAGTGTCACGTGACTAAACGAAACATGAGGATTTCTCACGCGCAAATGCAAATGAGATTTATTTTGTGCTGTTTTTGTCCCTTTTTTGTGCACTTTGGACAGCTTGCACTTTCGGATTAAAAGGAAATGGTTTTGAAACAACATAGAGGTGAGTGAATGATGGGTGGAACATATTTATTGATTTCTATTTTACAGCCTGATGTTATTGAAGCATGTTTTTTAAGTCTTTTTATTCAATAGTTTTTTTTGTTTTTTTTAGAAAACCATCCAGAAATCAAAATGTTAATCTGAATAACCTATAAACTTTATTTTTAAGAATTAAATTATAATTTTCCTTCTACCTGAAGTACACTAGTGTTCAAAGGTTTGGGTCGGTAATATTTTTTATGCTTTTGAAAGAAGTCTCTTCTACTCACCAAGGCTGCATTTATTTGATCATAAAATACAGTAAAAATTGTGAAATATTATTACAATTTAAAATAAGTGTTTTCTATGTGAATATCTGTTCAACTGTAATTTATTCCTGTGATCAAAGCTGTATTTTCAGCATCATTACTCCAGTCTTCAGTGTCACATGATCTTCAGAAATCATTCTAATATGCTGATTTGCTGCTCAAGAAACATTTCTGATTATTATCAATGTTGAAAACAGTTGTGCTGCCCAATATTTTTGTGGAAACCGTGATACATTTAATTTTTCAGGACTCTTTGATGAACAGAAAGTTCAAAAGGACTTCTGAAATCTTTTTAACATTATAAATGTCTTTACTGACACTTTTGATCAATCTAATGCATACTTGCTGAATAAAAGTATTAACTTTAATCAAATATAATATAAAAGTTTGTTCAAAGTTATCTGGTCTTAAATAACGTTAGCACAAAAACACTATTTATACATGGTTCATGGAACATTTTATTTCTGAAACATTTTTTAAAATGTTGTTACTTGTTTCAGAATGTTCAGAGAACATTCAAAAGTAACGTTCCCATAAAGTTTGGAATGGAATGTTCCCTTAACACTCATATAACACAAAAAACTGGATGTCTAGAATGTTCAGAGAACATCCAGAAATAACGTTTTCAGAACGTAATGGTAATGTTAGAAAAACGTTCTTGGAACATATTTTTGTAAGCTGGGAATTTCCTTAAAAAAACGAAAAACATCCCAATCCTAAACTTTTGAATGTAACGCACCTGAGGGTCTGTAGGGCGGCTGATGTCCCGGTCTGGAGCTGCAGTGATGGACAGGAATCATGTGACGCGGCGGGGGGCACGGCGGCCGCAGGTAAGTGTCGGGGTACGAGGTCGAGGGATAGCGGTACATGTTCCCTGATGGAGGAAACGAACGCAGAGATCTGGGATACTCCAGACTCTCCAGACTCGGACTACAGATGCCCAGAAGAGAGTGAGGCCTGCTGGGAAAAAACGAGCCGTCCTCTGAAAGCGTGTGGTAGACGGCAGACGGGAGGCAGGAGGGCAGGCTGTGTGGGGAATCTGCCCTGACGGGACCGTCCCAGCTGGAAAAGTGTGTCTGATGGGCATATAATGCACACAGAGGGGGCTGAGTGTAGCTCACTGCGTTATGCTGGAGAATGATCTGGGTAGGTTGTTGGATGGTTGTGGAACAGTTGTGACGGTCCGACTCAAACTCTTCACTCCTGGTTTCGTCATTCTCCTCGGGACAGTTTAGAGACATGTACGGATCGCTGCCGTGGGCCATGTGGGTTGGATATCTGAACATAAGAAGAAAATCAGCACATTAATTTCTTCAGATTTGTACGGAGCCCCTACAGGGACAATGATGTCAATACTGGATCTTCTGTCTAATTGGATCACTACATTTAATTTTTCAGGACTCTTTGATGAACAGAAAGTTCAAAAGGACTTCTGAAATCTTTTTAACATTATAAATGTCTTTACTGACACTTTTGATCAATCTAATGCATACTTGCTGAATAAAAGTATTAACTTTAATCAAATATAATATAAAAGTTTGTTCAAAGTTATCTGGTCTTAAATAACGTTAGCACAAAAACACTATTTATACATGGTTCATGGAACATTTTATTTCTGAAACATTTTTTAAAATGTTGTTACTTGTTTCAGAATGTTCAGAGAACATTCAAAAGTAACGTTCCCATAAAGTTTGGAATGGAATGTTCCCTTAACACTCATATAACACAAAAAACTGGATGTCTAGAATGTTCAGAGAACATCCAGAAATAACGTTTTCAGAACGTAATGGTAATGTTAGAAAAACGTTCTTGGAACATATTTTTGTAAGCTGGGAATTTCCTTAAAAAAACGAAAAAACATCCCAATCCTAAACTTTTGAATGTAACGCACCTGAGGGTCTGTAGGGCGGCTGATGTCCCGGTCTGGAGCTGCAGTGATGGACAGGAATCATGTGACGCGGCGGGGGGCACGGCGGCCGCAGGTAAGTGTCGGGGTACGAGGTCGAGGGATAGCGGTACATGTTCCCTGATGGAGGAAACGAACGCAGAGATCTGGGATACTCCAGACTCTCCAGACTCGGACTACAGATGCCCAGAAGAGAGTGAGGCCTGCTGGGAAAAAACGAGCCGTCCTCTGAAAGCGTGTGGTAGACGGCAGACGGGAGGCAGGAGGGCAGGCTGTGTGGGGAATCTGCCCTGACGGGACCGTCCCAGCTGGAAAAGTGTGTCTGATGGGCATATAATGCACACAGAGGGGGCTGAGTGTAGCTCACTGCGTTATGCTGGAGAATGATCTGGGTAGGTTGTTGGATGGTTGTGGAACAGTTGTGACGGTCCGACTCAAACTCTTCACTCCTGGTTTCGTCATTCTCCTCGGGACAGTTTAGAGACATGTACGGATCGCTGCCGTGGGCCATGTGGGTTGGATATCTGAACATAAGAAGAAAATCAGCACATTAATTTCTTCAGATTTGTACGGAGCCCCTACAGGGACAATGATGTCAATACTGGATCTTCTGTCTAATTGGATCACCTGGAAATCATCAAAACTATATTTCAGTAATTTTGAACATTTCACGGGGGAACGCAATCCCAGCTAACGGGGAGTGTTCTGAACAAGTTATGAACAAACGTTCTTCCAGTATCATTAATAAAATGTCCATTCAAAGTGATCTGGTCTTTAATAACGTTCTCAAAACATTATTCACCAGCCATCATTAATGGAACGTTTTTCTAAAACGTTTTTAAATGTTGCTACTTGTTTCAGAATATTCAGAGAAACTGATGTTTGCAAAACGATCACATGAAATGTTCCCCTAACGTTCATGTAGCCAAGAAAAATCTTTTTGAAGTTCTTCTTACAGCATACTTTATTCGCTGGAACAGTTTCGCAAGAGAACACACGCAATACTTTTATGAGAGAACGCAAATATTTAGAGTTCGCCTGCAAAACTTTTACGCTCTTCCAAGAAACTAAGCGTTCGCTTGAAAAACTTGTGATAGAAATAATGAGGTGGGAGGGGAAAAATAATGCTTTTGTGAGCGAATGCAAACTTTCTTGGGTCTTTGCAAGAGAACGCAAATGTTTTACAAGCGAACACAAAGATTTTCTTGGTAACTCAATAGTTTTGCGAGTGAATTCAGTGTTTCTCGTGATGATACAACTTCTGTCATTTATTCAACCGTTGTTGCTTTTTTCTGTGGACTACAACAAAGCATGCTCCACTTTCACTCGCAACAACAGTTCGGTGAGCACAGAAACACACCATATCACAGCAGTTCATACAACTCGTGCATTATATTCAAAGACATGTGGGGCCGGTTGCATAAACTCCTTAGTCTAGTCTTAAAAAGTTAGCCATGTAATTTTTTTTTTTTTTTCAAAATTGGTCATAACTTTTTTTTTAAATCAGTTACAAAAAGGTAGACTGGTCTAATTGGAATTGAAAAGTAAGACTGGTTAGCCCTTGGCTAACTGCTAGTTGGTCAAACCAGTTCTTAAGACTAGAGTGGCTATGTTTAGGGCCCCTGAAGTCAAATGATAGTTTTGGGTGGAGAACAGACTGAAAGGTTTTGTCATATTTGCAACATGACTCTCACGGTCAATGCTTTTGTTGTAAATAACCTAAAAGTGATGAAAATAACATTTCCTTTCCTATTAACTCCTTCAGTCAATAGACTACATCTGCCATGTTTGTAGGCTATAACAGAGCATGTCTACACAGTTGTCGTAACTTATAGTGCTGCACATACAGCGCAATTATTTTAATGTTCAGTCTGAGAGCATGTTTGCACATGCTGTGTTTTCATCTTCACCGAATGACAGAAACCAAGAAGACTTCTGAAAGCTGACAGTGACCAGATGACGGCGTAAGAAAGAGGTCAGCGCTGTTTTCTACTGGGGAAAATTAGGCCTTAGTGTAACATCCACCCATGCAGCGTCCCTAAATAGGACACACTGCATTATGACTCTTTATCTCAGCGTGCCAAAATTCTGCAGCCTGTGCAAATCTGCAGACCACAACTGAGACATTATGCCATGCAAGCAGATACATAAAACACTTTAGCTTTATGCAATATAGATACAGATATTCTGTTTGAGCATTTGAGACTCAATGCAAATATAAGCCAATAAGTCAAGTGAAAAAGAAGAAGCAGTTAAACATTTAGCATTTGATAAAGACGAAAGATACGCTTTATCACTGATTCAAACGTTTCCTGACACACTTGAGAAAGAAACCAAGCATATACTTGTATATAGGGGTGAATTCAGGTATTAAATATATATTTGCAATGACAAAATATTTTGGTATTTTTTATATTTAAAAGTAAATAAAAAAAGAGTACATTCAGGTGAATTGGGAATAATTCAAAAAATAATTTTTACATTTAAAAGTATGATAAATACTAATACAATAGGCTATAATACAATACTTTATATACATATACACACACACACACACACACACACTCACACTCACATAGTGCTGCACATACAGCGCAATTATTTTAATGTTCAGTCTGAGAGCATGTTTGCACATGCTGTGTTTTCATCTTCACCGAATGACAGAAACCAAGAAGACTTCTGAAAGCTGACAGTGACCAGATGACGGCGTAAGAAAGAGGTCAGCGCTGTTTTCTACTGGGGAAAATTAGGCCTTAGTGTAACATCCACCCATGCAGCGTCCCTAAATAGGACACACTGCATTATGACTCTTTATCTCAGCGTGCCAAAATTCTGCAGCCTGTGCAAATCTGCAGACCACAACTGAGACATTATGCCATGCAAGCAGATACATAAAACACTTTAGCTTTATGCAATATAGATACAGATATTCTGTTTGAGCATTTGAGACTCAATGCAAATATAAGCCAATAAGTCAAGTGAAAAAGAAGAAGCAGTTAAACATTTAGCATTTGATAAAGACGAAAGATACGCTTTATCACTGATTCAAACGTTTCCTGACACACTTGAGAAAGAAACCAAGCATATACTTGTATATAGGGGTGAATTCAGGTATTAAATATATATTTGCAATGACAAAATATTTTGGTATTTTTTATATTTAAAAGTAAATAAAAAAAGAGTACATTCAGGTGAATTGGGAATAATTCAAAAAATAATTTTTACATTTAAAAGTATGATAAATACTAATACAATAGGCTATAATACAATACTTTATATACATATACACACACACACACACACACATTTAAACCTGTTTACCTATTTGAACTAATTTAAAAAATATATATATTTTTAACCTATTTCCAGCTGACTGAAGACAAAAACTCACCTGAGCTCGAGGAGTCACAGTCACTTCAGGAAGTCAAAACGGTTGTGTTTCATTTGACATCTCGATTCTTGTTTTCTCACAGCGATTTAGACAGAGTTTAGTTTTAGACTATTTCAATAATAGCTTAATACGTGTCCGTTCGGTGTCCAGCGTCATGTTGTCAAGTGCGTTTCGGTTCGTGTGTCGGAGGAACATGATTATATATGATGGGCGCAGTAAAACCACAAGAACACAGGTTCAGGGCTGCCAAACATGATGCATATAAAGCTTAAAGACGTAAAAGAAAGCTTAAAACTTAATTAAAAAACATAATATGTCAGATAACAAAAATGTTTTGCTAACGTTCCCATTAAGTTCTGAAAATACGTTCTAAACGTCCAGTTTTTTTTTGTTTTTTTTTTTGTTTTGTTTTTTGTTTGTTGTGAACAATCATTTGAGTACAATCATGTAGCATATTTCAAGTTACATACAATACTCAATGCAAGCATGGAGTATCTTGTACAATTATGTCCAATTACCTGGTATGTTTTAACTATAAATCATACTCAACCTTCATTAAATTGTTTCAAAGTATAACCTGTTTTCCTTTTTACAAAGAAAAGTAACATAAAAAAAACTATATACATCCAGGGAGAGAAACATGTGTCCTAATTCAATTCCATCCATAATGACCTCAAATGACCTTCATTATGTATATAGATATTAAGCAGAATACATGCATATTCGCAAACATGTACATATACACACAAGCATATATTATTAAACGTCCAGTTTTGAATGATTTTAAAACAGGTTTTTTTGGTTATACGAACGTTTGCATCGTTTTGCAAATATTATGGGCACGTTACTTTTGAATGTTCCCTGAACGTTCTGAAACAAGTAACCTAGTAACATTTAAAAAACATTAGACGAAGGTCCAACTAAATGTAGCTACATCTGCAAGACGTATATTCAGTCTGCGTATTTTAGAGTGTTTGCTCATCTGCAATACGTCTATAGGACGTTCAGATGTCAAATAGACGTCTATGAGATGTCTTTAAGATGTTTATGATTTAGAATGAATGTAAAACCGACATCTTCGAGACGTTTGTACACAGCAGATGCTTCCCAGATGAAGAGATCTTTAACAGATCTGGGTAAAGACCAGAGAAATTTGGACGAATTTTTGTAATGTTACTGGAAGAACATTTATTCATTCATTTGAACCTTGCCAGAACGTAAGCGGTTTTATTCTTTTTAATCGACTTTTAAATATTAACGTTTTAATTTCAGATTGCACACGTCTGCAAGATGTCTGTTGAAGATCGCTTCATCTGGAAAGCATCTGCTGCGTAAAAGCATCTGACAGACGTCTCTAAGATGTCAGTTTTACATTCATTCTAAATCATAAACATCTTAAAGACATCTTATAAACGTCCATTTGACATCTGACATATTGCAGATGAGCAAAAACACTGTAAAAAATATGTCTTCCAGATGTAAATGCAGACGTCAAATAGACGTCTCCGTGATGTACGTGTGCTATCAGTTTTTTTTTCTTTTTAATCAACTTAGGCTGTATTTCACAATTTATATAGGCTAAACTTCAAGAGCAGGAGTCGTCCGTGTGATAATAATGAGTCGAACAGACAGCAGAGGGCGCTCTATCTGCTCTATACTTATTGAGTTGAATTGAATTGAACAGACAGCAGAGGGCGCTCTATCTGCTCTATACTTATTGAGTTGAATTGAACAGACAGCAGAGGGCGCGCTATCTGCTCTATACTTATTGAGTTTAATTGAACAGACAGCAGAGGGCGCTCTATCTGCTCTATACTTATTGAGTTGAATTGAACAGACAGCAGAGGGCGCGCTATCTGCTCTATACTTATTGAGTTTAATTGAACAGACAGCAGAGGGCGCTCTATCTGCTCTATACTTATTGAGTTGAATTGAACAGACTCCATCTGGCGCATGCGCAGCGTCACCTTCATGTTTCAAGCCGCACAATTGGGCGGAGATCTCTGCTGTTTCCTTCCAAAAATCAACTGATGATCAACCCACGGGAAACGGTTCCAATGTAGCGGATTTAGAGCGACATGCCAGGTACGTCCGTTCTCAAACGAGCATTTCCTCGAGCTTATCACTAATTGCGTTCTGACTCAGCTTGTTGTGGCTGGGCTTAGTTAGTGCATGCAGTAAAATTCAACGGGATACATTCTTACAGTCATGCATGCAAAGCAAACATTACATTAAAAGCAGCTGCATCATTTACAGTGTCCATATCGATCATTATTCATTGTGTTGCATGGATTTATTCATTGTATTGTCTTAATTTTTGCATTTTTGCAAACTGATGTGAAACGAAAGTTAGATGTAGTCAGTCTAGATTGAGATGATAGATTATAGTTTACTAGTTGATATAACTGTGTGCAATGCACATGCAACTAGAAAGAGATGAGAAAGTATACTTTAAAAGAGTTAAATGCTGTACTAATTGAAGTACCATGGTATAGTGATGCTTATACCATGGTACTGAATTGCTAAAGTTACATACAATACTCAATGCAAGCATGGAGTATCTTGTACAATTATGTCCAATTACCTGGTATGTTTTAACTATAAATCATACTCAACCTTCATTAAATTGTTTCAAAGTATAACCTGTTTTCCTTTTTACAAAGAAAAGTAACATAAAAAAAACTATATACATCCAGGGAGAGAAACATGTGTCCTAATTCAATTCCATCCATAATGACCTCAAATGACCTTCATTATGTATATAGATATTAAGCAGAATACATGCATATTCGCAAACATGTACATATACACACAAGCATATATTATTAAACGTCCAGTTTTGAATGATTTTAAAACAGGTTTTTTTGGTTATACGAACGTTTGCATCGTTTTGCAAATATTATGGGCACGTTACTTTTGAATGTTCCCTGAACGTTCTGAAACAAGTAACCTAGTAACATTTAAAAAACATTAGACGAAGGTCCAACTAAATGTAGCTACATCTGCAAGACGTATATTCAGTCTGCGTATTTTAGAGTGTTTGCTCATCTGCAATACGTCTATAGGACGTTCAGATGTCAAATAGACGTCTATGAGATGTCTTTAAGATGTTTATGATTTAGAATGAATGTAAAACCGACATCTTCGAGACGTTTGTACACAGCAGATGCTTCCCAGATGAAGAGATCTTTAACAGATCTGGGTAAAGACCAGAGAAATTTGGACGAATTTTTGTAATGTTACTGGAAGAACATTTATTCATTCATTTGAACCTTGCCAGAACGTAAGCGGTTTTATTCTTTTTAATCGACTTTTAAATATTAACGTTTTAATTTCAGATTGCACACGTCTGCAAGATGTCTGTTGAAGATCGCTTCATCTGGAAAGCATCTGCTGCGTAAAAGCATCTGACAGACGTCTCTAAGATGTCAGTTTTACATTCATTCTAAATCATAAACATCTTAAAGACATCTTATAAACGTCCATTTGACATCTGACATATTGCAGATGAGCAAAAACACTGTAAAAAATATGTCTTCCAGATGTAAATGCAGACGTCAAATAGACGTCTCCGTGATGTACGTGTGCTATCAGTTTTTTTTTCTTTTTAATCAACTTAGGCTGTATTTCACAATTTATATAGGCTAAACTTCAAGAGCAGGAGTCGTCCGTGTGATAATAATGAGTCGAACAGACAGCAGAGGGCGCTCTATCTGCTCTAAAATTATTGAGTTGAATTGAACAGACAGCAGAGGGCGCTCTATCTGCTCTATACTTATTGAGTTTAATTGAACAGACAGCAGAGGGCGCTCTATCTGCTCTATACTTATTGAGTTGAATTGAACAGACTCCATCTGGCGCATGCGCAGCGTCACCTTCATGTTTCAAGCCGCACAATTGGGCGGAGATCTCTGCTGTTTCCTTCCAAAAATCAACTGATGATCAACCCACGGGAAACGGTTCCAATGTAGCGGATTTAGAGCGACATGCCAGGTACGTCCGTTCTCAAACGAGCATTTCCTCGAGCTTATCACTAATTGCGTTCTGACTCAGCTTGTTGTGGCTGGGCTTAGTTAGTGCATGCAGTAAAATTCAACGGGATACATTCTTACAGTCATGCATGCAAAGCAAACATTACATTAAAAGCAGCTGCATCATTTACAGTGTCCATATCGATCATTATTCATTGTGTTGCATGGATTTATTCATTGTATTGTCTTAATTTTTGCATTTTTGCAAACTGATGTGAAACGAAAGTTAGATGTAGTCAGTCTAGATTGAGATGATAGATTATAGTTTACTAGTTGATATAACTGTGTGCAATGCACATGCAACTAGAAAGAGATGAGAAAGTATACTTTAAAAGAGTTAAATGCTGTACTAATTGAAGTACCATGGTATAGTGATGCTTATACCATGGTACTGAATTGCTATAATTATATGTCATGGTAGCCAATATATGCATGCATGGAAAAACCAAGGTACTTTTTTTAATGATGTAGACATAATTTTTAAATAGTAAACAATAGCTAAACATTATTACAACAAAACCTGTACGTCTTTACTGGCAGATTTCCACACTTTTAAAAACATAAACAAGTAAAAAAAGATCAGTAAGACAAAATACAATGTGTACTTATTCTCTGAAACAAATAGCAGTTTGCCTCGCAGGTAAATTTATATTGCTTTAACGATGTTTAGATATCGGTACGCAGGGTGTTATTTTGGCTGTAAATAAATGCATATGATGCTTTTGTATTTTAAAACACGCGAGCTGAGAAATGCGGACGCGAGAGTGTTTGTAAACAGTCCTCGGGCCTCGTGCGGTTTGCGAGCTGTTGCTAATAACAACCAACATTCTCCGCCGTTACCAAGCAACGATATCGCGACGCTAGCTGGTGCCGCTAATGTTTTATCGGGTTTTTAGCATGTAATACTCGTCGGGTTTGTTTAGCGTGTAAGTGTCAAGCAGCCCGTCCTGTTCATAGTGAGACCTGTTAGCCAGACAGCCGGTGGAATTAAACACTGCTAAAGTTAGATTAGCAATCACAGCAGCTGCTTCGTTAATGTTTAAACTGCTAATGTCCTCAAAAATAGGGTACATGTACATCCTCACGCGTGTTACATCATCTTTTGCATGTGTTTAATTTACAACGAAGTGCTATGGTAATACCTGGTTTATTATGGTATACTTTGAAGTACCTTAAAATGTCATAAATACCCTGGTAGCACAAGTACATCACGGAGACGTCTATTTGACATCTGCAAGACTATTTTTTACAGTGTTTGCTCATCTGCAATACGTCTATAGGACGTTTCCTATCAGATGTCAAATAGACGTTTAGAAGATGTCTTTAAGATGTTTATGATTTAGAATGAATGTAAAACTGATGTCTGAAAGACGTCTATCAGATGTTTGTCCCAGATAGCACACGTCTGCAAGAGGTCTGTTAAAGATCTCTTCATCTGGGAAGCATCTGCTGTGTACAAACATCTCCAAGACATCAGTTTTACATTCATTCTAAATCATAAACATCTTAAAAACATCTTCTAAACGTCTATTTGACATCTGATAGGAAACGTCCTATAGACGTGAGCAAACACTCTAAAAAATATGTCTAGCAGACGTCTCCGTGACGTACGTGTGCCGGATATATGAAATAATATCATATTTGATCCCTCAGGCTTTTAAGGCTCCTATAGTCTGATATAGTTAGAATATGGAGGAAAAACAGCTCAATTATTCAGAGATTCAATTGAGGAAAAATATGCAATTTGCTGCAGATGCTGATATTTAGACCTATATGATGAAATTCTGATGCTTGTAAATCAATGCGATCTTTATAACAGCAGATACTTACATAAAACAATATAAATATCAGCCATCACTCTATATCTCCAGTAATCTGTTTTAGTAAAACGAGATTTAAATAATGTAATGCAATCCAGCGCTGATTGAGAGATGAAGAAATAAACGCTGAGGAACAGTGAAAGTAAAGCTTCTGGAAACAAACGCTCCTCAAAAGATCCTGAGGATCAGATTTGAGACTCTAAAACATGATTGATGGAGAATCAAGTAAAGCTGAGCTGCTTCAGTCCAGTAAGAGTTCATCTGGAGATATTACTGCAGTTATTCTGACGCTTACTTGATCAAAATCAGTCAAGATTTGACTCGTGAAGCTCGAGCTGAAGCTGGACGTGTGTACAATTACACTAAAAGAGCCAATCAGACGACAGAAGGTGTGGAGTAAGTTTTGATCATTTAGAGGCCTTAAATTTGCATATATATGTTATAGTGTGAAAGTGATCATTCAGTTTTTGGACAAGACTTATAATACTTGATTTGTGAAAAATGCAACACATATTAATACTTTAATTTGCATTGCAGGATTTAGAGTGATGGACTGGCTGTTTGACAGGATTTCGTGGCAGAAGGATGATCTGTCGATTATAATATCGTTAGATTAACACATGTTGCACTGGAGCCGCATCCATCGCATCCCACATCCATTCAGGATTCTGTCTTTGGATTAACAAGATCTAAAACTCAGTTTTCCGGCCAGTATTTGTGTTTGTATGCGTTGTCCTGAGCTGTGGTCCATCTTTGCAAAGTCATGGAGCCCAACATGGAGTACATAGTGGCGCAGGTCACGCAGAAAGAGGTCGGACGTCAGTTTCAAGTGGGGCCGGAAATCATAGACTACATCCTGGACAGACAGAAGTCACATGACCTGGAGCACGATCAGAGCATGCTGGACAGGATGGTGGACAGTCTGGCAACCACATGGGTCAACGCGAGCAATTTCAAGGTGAGAGAGTTGGTAGAAACATGAATCATTTTAGTTCACCTACAAATGAAAATGTGCTCACCCTCAGTTCATCCGAGATTAGGATGAGTTTGTTTCTTCGTCAGATTTGTAGAAATGTAGCATTGCATCAGTGTCTCAGCAATGGATGCTCTGCAGTGAATGGGTGCCGTCAGTGAGACACTGATGCAATGCTACATTTCTACAAATCTGACGAATCTTGGATGATCTGAGGGTGAGTCATTTTCAAATTTTCATTTGTGGGTGAACTATTCATTTAAATAGAAGCTGAGGAGAGATTGTGTAAATCACTGGCCATTCTTTCTGTTTCTTAAGTAATTTTGTGCATTCCTGATTCAGTTCACTTGATGCATATTCTAAAGATTTTTAGGCCTTTTCTATAAGCGTGTAAGTAGTTCCAGGTTTGTTGCATTGGAGTTGCATATCATCATCAGCACAGATCTTTTAGATATCACACTTTGAAATGCGTAATGTAAATGATTGCTGATTTAGAAGATGATGCAAGCATTTGTTATCATTTCAGGAAGAGTCACTCCTGTTCTCACGGATTCAGTGAGACTCTTGGTCTTTACGAAAGCTCGAGTTTTAATTGGAAACGGATTTGTAATTTCACAGAACTGCATTTTTGGATGACAGGCAGTTTGTATTCAATGAAAAATGTAGGTTATGCTTGTAAACTACAGACACTGACCTGATGGACTAAAGCTGCTTTCTAGATTTTTAGAGAAAGCATTTAAGGAACATGATATGCATTAGGAGCTTTTTGAATTGCCATTGATCTCTTGTTGCTTCTAATGTTCAGTAATTCTTAGTGATTTAGCCAGAAAACAGTGTTTGGTTTGAGAAGTCGCTCAATATCAATCTAATTTTCCTCTCATCATATTTATTAATGTTTTAATATTTTAGTGTAAAATAAAAAAGAGCCAGAATTTTTTTTTAAATAAAAAAAATAATACTATGTCGCTGCAACTGTACAAGAAACATGATAATTAAGGCATGATTTGGGGGAAAATGTAATTGCAATAAAAAAAAACAAATCCAGGTTTACTGTGGTTGTTTATAGGGCTGCACAATTTGGATAAAATTTTCTGCTTACATTTGAGTATGGCAATAATAATAATAATAATAATAATAATATTAATATGTTAGCAATAATAATTATTTTTTAAATTACTAAATAATAAAAATATAAAAATGATTAAATTAAATAAGATTTAATTACTTTTTAATGAGATTTAATCAGTGTTGGGAAGGTTCCTTTGGAAATGTAATAGGTTACAGATTACAAGTTACCCTACTTAAAATGTAATAATTAGTGTAACTTTTTAATTACTTTATTAAAGTAATGTAACTGATTACATTTGATTACTTTTTGATTACTTTTCTAAATTTCTAATGTTTTCAACTGTTAATCATTTTCAAACATGTAAACCAGGCAGGGTTAAACTTACAATATGTGCTCAACACTGATAACTCTCAGACTTTCGAAATCCTTCATCACTTGAATTAAGATTATAATATTTTCATTTTAAAGGAGACATTGGATGCAAAATATCTTCATTTGCATATAAAGGTGTCTTACCTTTTGGTTGTGTGGACACAACCGCCCTACAATGATCAAAATTCACTCCTTTTTTTTTAATCCCCCAAAAACCTAAAGAGTCTCAATTATAAAGCCATTTTGATTTTGGAGTGAATACCAGCGCTCTCTTCCACCTTCAATACCACGACTGAAGTGAGACCCTTGAGCAAGGCACCAAACCCCCAACTTTGTTGGTGTGTGTTTACGGTGTGTGTGTGTTCACTGCTGTGTGTGTGCACTTGGATGGGTTAAATGCAGAACACTAATTCTGAGTATGGGACACCATATTTAGCCATATGTCAATTCAATTCACTTTCACTAAATTTGTTTATGTCTGGCTGCGCAAATCATTTTAATCCAGGCTGCTTTCTGAATGAGGGACAATTCAAGGCAGGTTTTGTTAAAAAGTTAAAACTCAAGGATGGATCAGTACCCATTGTTCATGATCCAGCTGCAGATTTCAGACTTACTTTAAAATCATTCTGAGGTTAAATACATATTTAAAATCATAACAAGAAATAGTTTAATAGCTATGATACTGTTTTTGAAATCAAATCGTTGCATAGCTACGACAGGAAACACTGGAATCTAACAATGCCTTAGAAAAAACAGTTAATCTTAAAAAAAATAAAGCATATACATAAACCCTATCGGATAAGCATGTTATAAACTTCTGAAACATTGGAGTTTCATATTTTAGAGCAGTCATTGCAACTTATGAAAGAAATCAATTAAATCTGTATGTGGGAGTGTGCTTGGAAAAAAATCAGATGTAACCCCCTTTGTAATCCTTAACATTTTCATAAGTAACTGTAATTTAATTACATATTTTTTCTCAGTAACTGTAACTGATTACAATTACTTTTATTTTGTAGTTAAATTACGTAATTCCGTTACATGTAACTAGTTACTCCCCAACACTGGATTTAATTTAATAAGATTTCAAATTAAGATTTAATATGTCACTGTAAAATTGAACATAAAAAGAAAATATTTTGAAAGAAATATATAGTAATAAAACTATTGCAACTGTAAAATTACAATACATGAAACTTGAAAATTAGGGCTGCATGATTTGGGGAAAAATCTAATTGTGATTTAAAAAAAAAAATACAGGTTTGTGTTGCTTGTTTTGATTAAAGATTTTGTGCTTGTATATGAATATGGCTATAATAATAATAATATACAATGTTATTTTTGTTTTTTATTGTTACTAAATAAAAAGAAAATATGAAATATTGTTATTTAATTATTTCAGTGTAAAATAAAAAAAGAAAAGGAAATTTAGGAAAAATAACAAAATAAATATATGGCTATATCATTGCAACTACAAAATTATAATACTAATAATTATGCTTATTTTAAATTTTTTATTTGCAAACGTTGTCCATAGAATTTTTATTTTGAAGGAAACCGCTCTTGTGTTGATCAGTGCTTCTGCATTAGGCTGTCAGCTTCTTCTCTCCACTCAGAGTCAGAGCTCCTGTAAGTGTGTGGGCTGAACACTTCAGTCTGATAGTGTTAAATTAACCTACTGCCTGTGTGTAGAGCAGAGTGTATGTAACCGGAGGGTTATCTCATGGTTTTGTTAGTTGACTAACTGGAGGAGCTGTAGAGAAGCATGCAGTAGAAGGAGGGGTTTCATTAGTTCATTTGAGGAGCCAGCCAATGGCGTGAGTTTGGGGGCGGGGCTATCGGTGTGCCTCTGTTTCTTTGTATCTCTTTGATTTTCAGTTTGACCAATGACAGGAGTGTTTGGAAACTAAACCATCATACATTTTAGTGACACGTTTTGAATCAACTTGTACATCTCAACAATTTTAAAGGGGTCATATGATGTTGCTAAGAACATTATTTTGTGGATTTGGTGTAATGAAATGTGTTTATGTGGTTTAAGGTTAAAAAAAAAAACAATATTTTCCACATACTGTACATTATTGTTTCTCCTCTATGCCCCGAAAAATTGAAATCGCATCATATGACCCCTTTAAAGGCGTAGTTCACCCAAAAATTTACGTTTTTGGCATCATTTACTCACCCTCATGTCATTCCAAACCTGAACGACTTTTTTATTTTATTTTGTGTGTGTGTCTTTTGTTCATGCGGTGGAAGTCAGTGGAAGTCATATATATGTATATATGTATATTATATTGTTCTTACATACTTCTATTTTTATTTTTATTTTACACTGAAATATTTCAATAGTAATCATTCTTTATTTAGTATTTTTTATAATAACAACATCAACAAAAATATTTTAATTACTTAATTTTTTATTTTACAGTGAAATATTACAATAATAATATTCTTTATTTTGTTTTCAGTATCTTTTTACATTTTTAGTTGTAGTAGTAGTAATAATAATAATAATAATTATTATTAAATTATTGTTTTAATAATAATTATTGTTATTATATTTTTAAATGCTTGATTTTTTTATTGTACGGTGAAATAATATAATAGTAATATTCCTTATTTTGTTTTTAGTATGCTTTTATTTTTTTATAATAATAATAATAATAATAATAGTAATTATTATTATTATTATTATTATTATTACTTTAATATTATTAT